GACTCTAATTCAAGGACTCACCCTGTTTCCCTGGAAGGAAAATGTGCCAGGTTACAATGATAAACAAAAGGTAAAGGCCACTATACCATAAAAATCCAGCTGGGCTTGCTTTACCTTGACCGTACCCTCAATGCCAACATCAGGAATAGTGTTGAATGTACTTCTTGACCATTTAATTACTTATCTGTAGTCAAGTGACTTCTAAATAGTTCTAGGATTAGATCATGGACAGCCATGTATTTCAACTGAACTCTTATGTCCTAAGGATCCAATCACGTCCAACTTTTATGGGATCAGTCTCCTTCCTTATAGGTTACCTGTCTGTAAGAATAATTGTGCATATCTTTACTTCAATAGAGCACCTGGAATTTCTTCATTTCTACTTCTACTGCTACTACCTGAGTTGTTAATAGAGTGCCAATGAATGATTTGGCACACCAACACCCATGTAGATAAGGAGCAGATAATCTCATTGAAGTTTCGATTTATATTTCCCTAATGATTAATAATGTTGAACATATTTCCCATGTACTTATTGGCCATTTGTATATCGTCTTTGGAGAAATGTCTATTGAAATCCTTTGCCCAATTGAAATGCTTTGCCCATTTTTTAATGAGTTGTCTTATTACTGTTGAGTTATAAGAGTTCTTTATATATTCTAGATACAAGTTCCTTGTCAAATATATGATTTCCAAGTATTTCCTCCTACTCTATGGGTTGTCTTTTCACTTTCTTCATAGCATCCTTTGAAGCACAAAACTTTTTACTTTTGAAGATGTCCAATATTTGTGTTTTTTATTTGGTTGTTTGTTGTTCCTTTGGTGTATCTTAAGAAATCATTGCCTAATTCAATTCACAGAAATTGACATTGTGTTTCCTTCTAAGAGTTTTAACATTTAAGCTCTTGGATTTAGGTCTTTAATCTATTTCAAGTTCATTTCTATAAATGGTGTGAGGTAAGGATCCAACCTCCTTCTTTTATAAGTGAATATCCAGTTGTCCCAGCACCATTGGTTGAAGATACCATCCTTTCCCTATGGAATTGTCTTGCACCCTTTTGAAAATCAGTTGGCCATAGATTTATGGATTTATTTCTGGACTCTCAATGCCATCCCATTGACCTATACTGTACTGTTTTTGAAATTATAGTTTTGTAGGAAATTTTGAAATTAGGAAGTGAAAGGTGGGTTACCATGTGTGGATGAGTTACCTTGAAAACTGTGCCAGCACTTTCTCCTTGTCATGAACAGAGTCTAAGAGTCAGTGCCCAATTGGTGTGACCAGGTAGCCTCCTGAGCCTCGATTTCCCTCCTGTAAAACAGGAAGAATAGTATCTATCTCCTAGCAGATGTTGAGAAGAATGATGTAATACACCCAGCTCTAGGCCTGACAATTATTATACATGTGTATTTGTTTCTTTTCCTTTGAACACTTCTTTGTCATAGTATTTTGAGCTCCCAATTTTATATCACATACCATGGTTTCTTTTCTGTCCTCACCTCAACTCTCTAGCTAGAGACAGTCTTCGAGCGTAACAGTCCCAACACAGTATGCCTCGTTACCTGGATGCTTCTTTAAAATGCAGGTGCCGGGGGTCTACCTCCAAAGACTGTGATTCCATGTATCTGTCTGGGTGTGGCCCGGGGAATCCGCAGTGTCCTCAAGGACCCCCAGCTATGCCAAATGAGGCCCATGTCAAGGGCTACACTTGGAGAAGCCTATGATCTGAGAAAAGCTTGCTTCAGAAGCCCTAGAGCTGCGTTTTCTTCAAATTCAGACCTGGACAAAGACAACAAACCTACTTTTCTAGCCCCTTCCCCACCCCCGCTTGGAACCTCAGAAACCTGGAGTAAGCTCATTCATCACCCATGCTACCTCTTTCTTCCCTTCTTGATGAGAAGGAATTACCATTTTTGCCTGTCTAGCACCCATTTTCCCTCTCTGGTAGCCCTCTAGATTTTCCTCACTCCCAGGGGAGATGGTTCAAGCAAGGCTCATGCCCTCCTTCTCCCCATCCCCCATCCCACCTCAAGTCAGTGAGGGTGAGCCTCCAGGACATGTACTAGAACAAGGGAAAGGGAGGCTATTCCTTCAGGGATACTGAACCGTTAGGAGCCTAAGCCTGGAGTTTCACATAGATGAGGTGGAGAGCCTGCTGAGAAGGAACCGGGAGAAACGGGGCCCCTGTGACAGACTTTGGCCCCTGGAGTTCCTGGTAATATGAGTTATTCTTTTTGGTTGCGGTCAGTTTACCGGCATTTCTCCTGAGGGTTCTGACTCACACACAGAAACCACCCCCCAGATAAAGGCCTTTACAACACCTGCCTCTCCTCTCACCCCTACCTCTCAGAAAAGGATCCTCCTTCACTGGGCTGTCTCAATTTCCCGCACCTCCCTCTCCTCCCCGAGTGTCACCTCCTTGCCACAACGGAAATCCCAAGGACTCAAGTTTCCCCTGTCCTGTTGGCAGGGGACCTTCCTCTTTAGGGGCAGGGGGTCAGGTCTAGCCCACTTTTCTTTTCCTCTTGGAGGAGAAAAATATCCTTTTCCTTGGAGACGCATGTTAGCAAGCTCACTATTCACTCTAACTTCCAGATTACTTAACTCACTTAGGACTTTGACACCTGTTTTACAGTCCCTCCCCGCTCCCCCAGCCCAGCTGTCATTCCAGAGGGATTTCAGCATTCCCCTCAGTAGCCTGTAATCATAGTTTATGTAGCATTTACTGCATACCAGGCATGGGCCTGAGCACTTTACGTATATTTTAGTGCACTTTTATTATCCCCATTTTTATGGGTGAGGAAACTGAGGCACATAAAGTCTATTTGGACCTGTCTAGTGTTACCCAGCTACTAAGTGGTAGAGAGGGGATGAGGTCAAGGGAATCTGATTGCAGAGTCTGGGCTCTTAACCCACATGCTAGCCTCCCAGTTCCCTATTCTGTAGCCTCCCCCATAGCCACTCTGAATTGGTCCTCTTGAAGGTGGGAGGGAGTCATACTTCCTCCAACTGAGTCACTGGGCATTTGGAATGCCCTTGAGAGTAAGGAATGACAGCTGAGGGTGGTTTGGATGTCGATTAGAGAGATCTGTACCTCCTCTTCCCGCAGCTCAGTTAGTTATTGTCATCTTTCATGTAAATGTGCCAGTTCCTGGTCCTATGACATAGTATTATTTTATAATGCTCTGTCAACTGGGTATGTGCTGGGTAAACTTGCCGGGGTGCAAGTTGGGCTGAAGACACAGAGGCAGAAAAGCAAGTTATATATTCTGTTCCAGGTGCTCCCTCAGGCCTCTTCTGCACACCAGTGTCCTTATTCTCTGAGGAGGTCACTGCATTCAGGCTAGTCTGTCCTCCTTCTGCCTAGGACCATCCTTAGATGTGTCCCTTGCCTGTATCCCTACCTGTGGTCTGTACTCAACCTTCTAGAAACTTTGCACAATAGGTTCAAACTTCCAGTTCACCATCCCAAGTAATCATACCTAGGTGTAGCTTCATCCAGAGCTGCTCCACTCCGAAAATGCATGCTGAGACCCTGCATCATCCCACCTCTTAACACACATGCTCGCCTCCCGGTTCCCTATAATGGTAGCATCCCTACTACTGCTAGAAAAAACTCACACAAGTGTGTGAACTGGTGTCATAAATATAAGGTCGCCAAGCTCATCATGGCACCCCCATGACTCCAAGCAAGCCTAATTAGTACTCACAACAGCTTTATAACTGTTTATTGAGTGCTTACTATGTGGACTGTCCTAATCCCTGTATAAGCACTTAAACTCTCAAAACACCACCATTATGAGTTAGAGACCATTGTGGTTGAGAAAAAGGCCACATATTAAACCCAACAAGCTCACAGGAGACCTCAGTGGTAGACCTTACAAAACCAGAGACCAGACCAGCCGGGTGTGACTCAGCAATTGAGTGTTGACCCAGGAACCCAAGAGGTTACTGTTTTGGTTCCTGGTTCAATTCCTGATCAGGGCATATGCCCAGATTGAGGACTCGATCCCCAGTAGATGTGCGGGAGGCAGCTGATCAATGATTCTCTCTTCCTTTCTCTCTGAAATCAATAAAATTAAACACACACACACAACTAGAGACCGAAGTAACCACACAGGGTGGTCTGAACGTAAAAATTCCTAACTAAAAGAGGATCATGGTAGGTAGTCATGTCTTAGACCTGTAGCCTTCTTGACAAAGGTCACCCTTTAACTTTGAAATTATTGTTTTTGTGCATCTGAGATTGTTGGCGGCAGCAAAAATGACGCTGGGTGTTAGAGTGGTGGAGCCAGACTGCACTTCGTTGGGTTCAGCATTCGTGGTAGAAGAGGGTGGGTGGGCTGGGTCCTCCATGAGAGTATGTAGAACAAAACAGCAGAAAGTCCCTAAGGGCTTTTAGGGTGGGGATTTTAGGGGCAGTCCCAGGAGAGGACCTCAATAGAGTATTCCTCAGTTTTCCAGGTGTGACCTTTCAGGGTCTCTGCTGATGGATTGGTCCGTGCCCTGGCAGGGGTCCTTAGTCAGTGCAGCTGGTCCTGAGCTCAGCCTCGTATCCCTTGTCTGATTTTGCTGCTTTTCGGGGCTTGGAGCTGAAACACAGCTGAGGGCTTAGGGGTTAATGCTTAGGGGACTGGTCACGCAAGGGCCCACATGGGAGTCCCAGGAGGCCCCTCTTTGGCCCCTTGTTCCTCCTCTAAGGAGGGTCTACCACATGACCAGCATATGCGAGGGGAGGAAAGGTTACCCTGGAGGGAAATCTTTGTTTTCCCAGTTGCTAGGCACAGGGGCTTTCTGTCCCTGTGAGCTTCGTACCAGTCCTATCCCCTTGCTCGGCTCCTCTGCCCCTCCAGAGCTGGGCCAGCTCCCCTGTCTTGCCTGCAAACTAAAGTGCTGTGTCACTGTAGCAGTGGATTCTTCAGTGAAAGTGAAAGAAAAGGAAGGAGGGAGAGAAAACCGTCACTCTAAATGCCGGAAAGAAGGTGGGGGTGCGGCGCAGATGTACTTCCTGGTCATGGTTACTCAGCACTTTAGGGGGCTGCGGGTGCGGGTGTGGGTGTGGGTGTGGCGGGCCTTTCCGCTGAATCCAGCCCTGGCCAGGCGGCTCCTTCACCAGCCTGGCCGTGCTCGATTAAGGCCTGGCTGACCCCTTCCCAGGTGAACCGACCTGTGGCTCTGGGAGGGGCCGCCGGACTCGCCGCCCCAGGTCATTCATAGTGCACGCGCCCTTTAAGTGGCTCTATGGCCCCTGCAGATCCCCGCTCCCAGCTCGGGTA